TTTTTTTCTTTAAGTTGAGTTCTTTTTTTTTAAGAATTTCAAACAGTGATACTAGTCTGGTTTAATTCTTCCTTTTGCATCTAGGTAAGACTGTTTTTTCCTTATATAAGTTTTCCATGTTCTAGTCTAGTTTCAAAAACTGTAAACACATTGAAACTAAGACACAAAATATTAAGAATGAAAAATAATGTGGGGGCCAAAAACCACAATATGAGGTAGTCAACAACATGGCTTACACATCACCCCTCCTCGCCCTTCCCAGAAGCATGTTCAGTAAACCACAGGCAGCCACTACAATGCCGTTCCAAGACTACATGGTCGTTATGGTCTAGCACTCATATTTGAAACAGCATCCTAAACCAACACCAAGCTGGGGTGTTCTCTCCAAAGGAAGATCAGCTGTTTTCTGCAATAGAACGTTTGTGCAAGTCAGCCCCTCATATTTGAAACAGCATCCTAAACCAACACCAAGCTGGGGTGTTCTCTCCAAAGGAAGATCAACTGTTTTCTGCAATAGAACGTTTGTGCAAGTCAGCCCCTGACCCTAGGAGGGTGGTGCTGTGCTGGGGATGTGGTTCCCCTAAGCAGCCTGATGTTTGGAGATGAATATTGAAAACTGCACTTTGTCTGGATATCGTCAAGAATCTGCTGCAACTCCTTGTCTTCAAATCTCCCCTCCAGGCTTGGGATCAGAGCCTTGGACTCCTAAGCAGTCTCTGGACAAACTTTTTCCAGAGCAGCAAGCTATGGACAATGGCAGTGGTTTCTCTGTTTTTGAAATGACTGAAATGGGCTCTGTAGTTTAAAGTTTTCATGAAGAGCTCATGATGAATAATATCCTTAAGATTTTCCTTTAGTTTGTTAATAGAAATCTTTTTTGTTTGATTATTTTATCAGCTATCAACCCACCCATGTATACTATGTCCCCAGTGACATTTTTCCAGTTTCCTTCCAACCGTAACATGCAGTAGAATCAATAAATCAGTGTTTCGAGGTATGCTATGTTCCAGGGACTGTGGTAGGTACTGGCACTATAGAATTAAATACAACCCGTCCTCTACCCTTTAGGAGCTAAAATACTTCATTGAAATCAAGTTAAAACATATCCACAGAAAATCTAAATTTCTTGAGCATTTATTTTATTTACTTTTATTTTTCTGGGGATGGGGGGTGTGGCTGGCCTGAACAGGGATCCAAGCCCTTGACCTTGGTGTTGTAACACCATACTCTAATCAGCTGAGCTAACCAGCCAGCCCAGCATTTAATTAAATTATCAGAAAAGGGTATTTGTAATTGGCTTCTCATTATAAATACTCTTTCCCTAAAGATTTTCAAAATGTTTATCCAGGGCTAACAAATGTGTTTTGCCTGATAGTCTATAATCTTTAGTCTCTAAACATTGGTCATTTCCATCCTCTGGGAAAAATTAAGGTAGTATGTATTGATCTCTAATGCTCCCACTTTTGTATTCATTATTGTTTTCTCAAAAAGTGCTGATAGTGTTTTAATTACAATTAAAAGTTCTTCAGTAATATACAGTATTTTCTCTTGGTTCAGAGCCTAGAAAAAATATGTCATCTTTTCCCTTATAGTGAGCTACAGTTTCTTTATTTCTTCTAGACCTCTGAGTTTAAAGATTTATTTTTCTTGTGAAGAGATACAGAAAATAAGGTATTTGTATTTCCTCTTTGCTATCTGTTACCTTACATCAGTTTCTCTAGTTTTCTCCTCCTTATTCTTGTTTACAACATAAGACTTCAAAAACTAGTCTTTAGTTTTTTTCAAAATTCTAATCTCATCACTGTTTTAAAATTATTTTTCATGAAGTGTGGTACATATACACAATGGAATACTGTTCAGCCATAAAAAAGAATGAAATTCTGCCATTCACAGAAACATGGATGAGCTTGGAGAAAATTATGTTAAGTAAAGTAAGCCAGGCACAGAAAGAGAAATACTGCATGTTCTCACTCATATGTAGGGACTAAAAAAGAGAACAAAACAAAACAATAATAAGTTGATTGTTAAAAGGAGAGAGAACTGTGGTTACTAGAAGTGGTAAAGAGGAGGGGGGAGGTGGGATAGATAGAGGCTGGTTAATGGACACAAAATACAGCTAGATAAGAAAAATATTGTCATATAGTGGACCCAGGAATCCATAAATATTTACTGCATATTGCCATATGACTAGAAGAGAGGAGATCAGATGTATACTTCACAAAGAAATGATTAAGTTTTGCAAAGATGAATATGCTGATTACCCTGAATAGATCATCACACATTGTATACATGTATTGAAATATAACTCTGTACCCCATAAATATGTATAATCATTATGTTTCAGTAAAACATTTTTTTTTAAAATAAAATTATTTTTCATGTTCATCTTTCCTGTTTTGTACATGGTGTTTTTTTAAGTATAGTTTTATTTGCTTTATTAACTGTATAAAAACTTTTTTCCAAGGGCAATGTGGTTAATGATATTATGTTAAGTCTGAGAATCTTTAACACGTTTGACACAATTATGAAACAATCTGGTTTTTAAGTTTATTTGAATACCTCTTTTTTAAATCATTTAAAAAAATTTTAATTGTGGTAAAATACATATAAAATTTACCATCTTAACAATTTTAAGTGTACAGTAGTGTTAAGTACATTCACTTTCTTGTGCAACCAATATCCAGAACTCTTTTCACCTAGCAAAACTGAAATTCTGTACCCATTAAATAACCCTATTCTCCTCTCACCTAAGTTTGTGGTAATCACCATTCTACTTTCTGTCTCTATAAATTATATCTCATGTATAGTAATGTCCTCAAGGTTTATCCATGTTGTAGCATGTGTCAGAATTTCCTTCCTTTTAATGGCTGAATAATATTTCATTGTATGTATATTCTACATTTTGTTCATTCATCTGTCGATGGATACTTGGGGTGCTTCTGTGCTTTGGCTATTGTGAGTAATGCTGCTATGAACATAGGTGTACAAATATGTCTTTGACACCCTGTTTTCAATTCTGTGAGTTACATACCCAGAAGTGGAATTGCTGGATCATGTGGTAGATTTTTAATTTTTTGAGGAACCACCATACTGTTTTCCATGATGACTGCACCATTTTACATTCCCACCCACTGTTCACAAGAGTCTCAATTTCTTCACATTTTTGCCAACGCTATTTTGATTTTTGTTAATAGTAGTCATACTGATGGATGTGAGGTATCTCATTGTGGTTTTGATTTACGTTTCTCTAATGATTAGTGATGTTGAGCATTTTTTCATGTGTTTATTGGCCATTTGTATATCTTGTTTAGAGAAATGTCTATTTAAGTCCTTTACTCATTTTTCAGTTGAGTTGTTATTTGTATCTAGCATTAGGTAAAGATCCAACTTTATTCTTTTGCATGTGAATGTTCAGTTTTCCCAGCATTATTTGTTGAAAAGATTGCCCTTTCCCTATTGATAGGTCTTGGTACCTTTGTCAAGAATCATTTGACTATATGCAAAAGTTTCTTTCTGGACTTTCTATTCTATTCCATTCGTCTATATGTCTGTCTTTATGCCACTACTACACTGTTTCGATTACTGTAGCCTTGAAGTCAGTTTTGGAATCAGGAAGTGTGAGTCATCAAACTTTGTTCTTTTTCAATATTATTTTGTCCATTTGTACATTGTGTTTTAAAATGCAGACCATCTTGTACAATCTTGCTTTTGTTTATTGAAATTATTTGTGCTTAATAAACGATTTAATATCTTTAGTTCTTATTCCACGTGAACCATACTCCCTTAAGTAAATGGAAATAAATCCATCTTTCTCTGGGTTTTTGACATTCTGTTTATCTAAAGTCCAGGGTGTATATATCAAACTATAGTTAACATTTCCCTTACAGTATAAGTCATAAGGTGACATCGTTACTCTTTCCTTGCTCATTTCTATATATTCAACAAGTTTCCATCTTACTCAAAATTAAGTCCAGAGTACTATTTCTATTTGCTTTCTTTGTCTTTATAAGTTATTTTTAAGAAAGACTGACTACTTTAGTTGGGACTACTTCAGCTTTCAGAGCCTCTTCATTTAAGTTTTCCTGAACTTTTCTGCCCTCTGGTTTAATGTCATGTACTTGTTTTGTTTATCTTGTATTCTCTAACTTTGGGGACCAAATTGGAAAGCACTTACAAAGGATGGGACTTGATAAACTTAAACTTTAAATGTAGCTTTCCCCTAGAAAATATCCTGGTAAGATAGCATTAAAAATGATATTTTTCCTCATTAGTTTTTAAAAGAATATTAATTTAAAATGTCTTATACAGTTTTACTACAAATAGAAAATTAAGTATCTAAAATAGGACTTCATGGTTCCGGTCAAGATGGTGGAATAGACAGTACGCAGCATCACTCTCTCCCACAAATCAACCAATTTACAACTATAAAAATGTAACATCAGCCAAGCTGGGGCCACTGGAGTTCAGGGGAAGAGGAGGAAAGACCTACAGAGTTCATGAAGGCAGGAGAAGCCTCGAGAGAAAGAAAAAACTGCTCTGAGCGAACATCAGCCAAGCTGGGGCCACTGGAGCTCAGGGGAAGAGGAGGAAAGACCTACAGAGTTCATGAAGGCAGGAGAAGCCTCGAGAGAAAGAAAAAACTGCTCTGAGCGTTTTGGGCCATTGCTGCTTTAATGCTGGAGCGCATGGAGCAGGAGCCAGCAGAAGCCGTAGCTGTGCCCTTTAGATGGAGTTACTTGGAGGCAGCAGGGGAGAAGAGGACTTTGGTGGCCTCCAAGACAGCAAGATCACTAATAGGGTTCCCGTGGACCCATGCAGGAGCGAGGAGCCAGAGCAGCTGAAAAAGGGGAGCCATTCAGAGGCCGGTGAGTCAATACAAGGGAAAGGCGCAGGGCCCACCCCATGGGAAGTGGCTTCATCTGCGTTGATGTTCTTTCCTAGCTCCTCCCTAGGACAGTCCCAAACTTCAGTACTGTTCATCCTGGAGCACCCAGCCAGGGTTCTGTCCCCTCAGCCCTGCCCCAGGCAGAACCAGGCCCCATGCCCCAGCCCCCATACTCACTTGCCCACGGCCTTCAGCAGCACCTCCTGAACTTTGGGGACCCGAGTGGCCCCACCCACAAGGATGACCTGCTCAATCTCGTCCTGCGTAGGGGGAAAGAATGTGAGGTGGGACAGCACGCAATTAACTCTCCTCCTCAGTGCTGACTCTTCCCTTGATGTCCCATGTGTTTCCTCCCCCATGCCCCATCGGGCACACCCACCTCCCCCTACCCTCTCACCAAACTCATTTCGGCACTCTGGAGGGCCTGCTGTACAGGCCCAGGCACCCGCTCAAACAGGTCTGCACACAACTCCTCAAACTCCACTCGAGTCACTTTTGCCTTGAAGTCGACATCGTCCATCAGGCCCTCGATCTGGGGGAGGATGAGGAGTGTCAGGGAGTTCTTGCTCAGGTCCTGCTCTCTCGTATAACTTCGTATAATGTATGCTATACGAAGTTATTACGCTGGGGACCAGACCCCTCTCCCACAACCAGGCACACTGCACCAGCATCTTGGGGCCTGCCTGTGGACCAGAGGCATGGAGCGAGGGACCAGACCTCCCTTCCACAACCAGGCACACTGTACCAGCGCCTCGGGGCCCACCTGGGGACCCAAGGCATGGAGCTGGAGATTAGACACTCTCCACAACCAGGCACATTGCCAGCACCAAGGAGCATGCCAAAAATATCACCTCCATGTGGTTGGCCCACCACAGCCATCACAATAACTATGGTTGCTGGCGAAAGTGGCTAGATGCCACAACTACCATACAGATGATCCACCAGCCACTGGAGTGCATTGACACGAAGAGAGTCACCAGCAGAGATAAAGAAGAGGATGTCTCTCTCCACAAAGCCCATTTCAGAGTGACAAAAGAAGCATCTGCTCTGTGGTAATATTGGGAGACCTGATCACACCTCTAAACACTGGAAAGATCATCTAGACAACAAATCAACAGAGTAACCATTATTCTTTCAGAAGGAGAGAAGAAATCTAGAGTAATTAGAGGGGAGAAGGGGGAGGGAGAGAGGGAGTGATAGCACAAGGGGCATAAAGAATAATTATGATTTGTAATAATATATATACTGGTAATATTGATTTGATCAACATATCTCAATGTTGAACCCCAAAAATATGTATAATCAATTTTGATTCAAGAAAAATTAAAAAGTAAAAATAAATAAAATAGAACTTCATTTTAGCCACTAATGTTGCCTTTGTTACAGAGCGTGCTCTGTAGTAGCGTAAGGTTAGGAAACCTAGAAATTTGTTTGCATAAATTATTTCAAAATAGGAAAGACATTTACCGAGGCTGAGCTAATGTGTATTTGATGGTCTAGAGTTGGCAGAAATATGCATAAAAAAATGATCATTCTTGGAGTACTTTTTTATAACAGAATAGTAAGGTACCGGCTCTTTGGAACACTGAGGTCTCATTTTACTTTATGTTTTTGTTTTATATACAGGTCCTCCTCCCATCCCTGCGGAACCTGTTGTTTCACCTAAACCAGCTTATGTTTCAAAAGTACATTACGGTAGGCAAGTTCTTTGTGGTGTTCTTTTTTAGAAGAGTAACACAATTAAAAATTATAAAATATTATTAAACTATGGATAGGAATGAAAATATACATTACCATTTTATCATTCAAACCTCCCACACTTGTACAAAGAGGAGAATTTCCTTTTATACTGTGCTAAAAATGATAAGGGAGAGGAAAGATCGAAGAAAGAGTTTTTTCTATATAAGGAGATGGTTCGTTAATTTCATACAACTGCTTTTTTGAGAATTTTTTGCTTTGGTGGGCTTGTCATTAATGAAAACTGATGGCTTTCTGGTGTTTGGTGGTCTTTTGGTGCATTCATTTTAAATCAGTCCATTCACACTCTTTTAATGGCAGTTATTTGTCATTTAAGCTCAGGAAAGCTACAACTTCAGTCGAAGTTACTGGTTGTGTGACCTATGACCAGTTACTTTTCTGTGCACCTTAATTTCCTCATCTGTAAAATGGCCATTACAGTAATTACCTCATGGGATTATTGTTAAGATTAAATTAATTCATACATGTAAAATACTTAGATCAGTGCCTGGCACACAGTAGATGCTGACTAAATAGTAACTACTATTATTTTATTATAACATTTCATCACATTCAACATTGTGTGGTAGTTATTATGTACTTTTCCTGTTAGATTATGTATCTCCTAAAAGGCAGGAATTGTTCTTAATTTCTATGTTGACTACATAGTAGGCACACTTCAGACTTTAAAGTTTAAAGTATTTGTAAAATTAAAATTAAGAAGGAGCCTTTCTTCTTTTTCGTTTTCGAGATGAAAGTTAGAATTTGGAAAGTTTTATGCCTAGTCTTTTATTGTGTCTCTAAGAGAAAATGGCCTTGTACATTAGTGTGCATGAAGTAAAAGGACCAGACTAAGGGAAAATAGGAACATTTAAAAGACAAAATCCACCAATAGTTAAATATAGTTACCTGACCTAACAGTCATAAGAATTTATGAACAGCCATTAGGAATCACTTTTCCGGTAGTGATCTCTTAATATGGGAAGAGGCTCTTGTCTTTCCTTTCAACTTCTCTGGACATTTTTAATGAATAATGGGATAAAATCTGAGTTAAAGGATGGGCAAATAACATAGATTGCTCTTTTCCTGGGAAAACAGATAATAAACTATGAGGAAGAAAGAATATGTAGTTTAAAAAAATACAAGAGTAGAGTCAGGTTTGGTAGGCTCAGGTCAGGAGTCAAGTGTCAGTCAGAAAAGAGAGAACCAAACAACATCCTTTGAATTTATGGGTAAAAAACAGGACTTGGATATTATAACTTTCAGAGAAAAAAGATTAGAGACCCACAAAAATCTTCTGAACACCTTCTGATGAGCCAGTTATAGAGGTAGTCACTATTTCACAGCCTGTCTACTTTGCTATATGTTTCAAACTGGATCATATCTTTATTATAAATAGTGATATTTTGGCTCTGAAGATAGGTTCAGGTTACTCATGATACTAAGTATCACTTGATATTAGCAAGTTGAAATCAAAGAAATGGTGTTAATGGCATTATACTTGTCATGTTTTTATCTTAGCCTTTATTTCCAATAATTTGTGAAACTTTTATTCCCTCAATAGCCAGCACACATGTATAAGGACAACAGTATTTTAATTGCTTTTCATTTCTTTACAAACATGCTAAGAAGAGATACATTTAGTAATTTAGCAATACATTTAGTAAATACAAGATTTGATTATATTCACAGCATTTATTTTTTCTGTCAGTACTGAATTAGGATTCAGATGTATGTCAGTATATTGTTGATTCCTAAATGTTCTTTATGATATTTTTAATGCACAACAAAACGTTTTACTTGTGACACACATAGTGCTGGTTGTGTCAGTACTAATTACAGTGTACTTTTCTATTTTATACATTAACACAAAATAATTGCTAACTATTTAGATCATAATTAAATAAATTCATTCTGTGGAGACATTAAAAAGAATGAAATAGCACTAATGTCTGCCTTTGATGTACAAGACCATATTAATGCAGAAAGTGGGGTTAACCATGCCCCTGTTTTTATTTTTTAAAGTGATGTATGTTTATATTTATAGATTTTCTCAAAATAGCTATATGAAACTGGTAATAGTGGTTGCATCCAAATGTATACCTTGTTATAGTAAAAAAAAAAAAAAAAGATTAAAAAAATCATTAAATGAAACTGCTTCATCTGTATCATGAATTTTTGGTGATAAACAGACCCAGTGTTCATTCTTTCTCTCAGAGTTTCATTTTGTGATTAACTTTTGGCTGTTCTTCCACTCTTTTTGGTAATATGAATGTACCTCTTTTTGCTAAGAAGAGAGTATTAATAATATTAACAAAGAAAAATACAAGCTTAACTAATATTAGCAAGAACATGTAAGAAATGAGTCATATACAGTAAGCAGAATGTTAGCTAGGACTGCTGATGCTGTAGTTTTAGCATTTGTGTGCCTTTTAGAATGTAGTGACTATCAATCAGGTAAAAAGAATTATCTGTAAAAATCATATTCAGGTATGCATTTCATATATATGTAATGCATGAAAACAAAATTGTTTCATTTTTTTCTCTGAAAAAATATATATACATATGTGTGTGTGTGTGTGTGTGTGTATTTTTTGGTGATTGGCCAGTAAGGGGTTCCAAACTCTTGACCATGGTGTTATAGCACCATGCTCTATCCAACTGAGCCTAACTGGCCAGCCCTACTCAAAATATTAAATGGACTGTGAATCACTTGATAACTGCTGGGAACCACCACGAAATATCAGTAACCATCAATGGTTTGCAGTCAGACTTTCAGGAACACTGTATTAAAGTGATTCTGCAACCTCTTATTCTCTAGAGCAATGATTCTTCACTAGGGATACACAATCATATATACAAAGCAACAGATTGCCAGGGTCCTACCCCAGAATCTCAAGCTCTGTTATGTTTTTTTAAAAAAATCCATGATTAACTTTTGATGTATATTCTTGAAGCAATACTAGTTACGGTAAGCCTAGTAACTTAGAACTATCTTAATCTTCTTTCAAGTTTGAGACTTTTTAGTGGGAACATAGAACTATATCAAAAGTCTAATGCTTAGTATTTGCAGTGGTTTTCAGTGGGGCAAATAGTAAGGGAGTATATTTTAATTGCTGTAATGGTTGGGGAGGACTGCTGGCATTCTTTGAGATGTTGGTTATATTGTAATGTGTGGGACAGTTCCATACAACAAAGAATTGTGTTGTGTTCCATATGCCTTTTAATATCCTGTCAGACTAAATTCTACAAATATAAATCAATAGTCCTCTAGTATGTAATATCACAAATCTTTTCATAAGAAGACACCTAAAAAGCTTAATAACTTGTGTCCTTTTAGAATCAAATACTTTAAAATCTCAATACAACATAAATTATAAATTTGCTTACATATGTCTATAAATGATTAACTAATTTGTAAGGTTGTAGTAAGAATAATACATTTCTGGGAGAAAACAATGTTCTTCAAATTCATATTGCTGTTGATTTGTTTTTT